CTGGCAAATTATGGTCGGCCTTGGTAGTATGATTTGTATTCTTTGCTCTTACGAGTGTCTGAGTCTACTCAATTACTTTATAAGTTCCTAATCATTGTAATCTCTGTTGTACTGTCACTAAACGAGTATCTCGTCTTCTTCCATTTTATGGGTGTAAAATAAGATTTGTTACACATTTTCATTTTACATAAAAATTCAGAAACTTCAGCAAAGTCTAATAATTGGTACATATGAGCAATGAACAAAGGAATATCTATTAAGTGGGTTAAATGCTAATATAAAAGCAGTTTGTGATAGCACTTCAACCGTTTCTTTCTTTTTGCCACAAAAGTCCTCTCATTCTAAATTTTGACGCTCTTTGATTTTTTAGACCGTATTAATATGAAGGCAGTTTGGAAGTCTGGGCTCTTCAATACCGCAAGATGGAAATTTGCAAAAAATAACTCGAAGAAATTCCAAAAAATTTGGAAATTGTATTTTTTATATGTGACATGTATATCGAGAGCTGCAATCTCTCACTCATTCGGAAAACGAAATTTTTTTTCAAAAAGTTATAAAGATTTTTTCCATCAAGTGTAAACCTATGTTACGACCTTATACCTTCTGCTCCGGGTAGAATCGATGGAGGCATTGCACCATAGTGTCAAATTTCTAAAATTTATACGTCATTGTGGTTTATCAACTCTGCAAAAACTCTTGAACTGAACTTGCGCAAGGTAAGGCCTGTCGGCTAGTTTTTCGACTTTGATATTCCTTCTTGGATGCTTAGTATTTGTGTGAGATATCAAAATCGCTTAACTAGCAACAACAACTTAATACTTATCATTGCTTATTTATGCTTCCAGTTGAGGCAGTGTAGAAGAACAAGGTCTAATGATTTTACAGGAGCGCCTTACAATAAATTGATCGTCTGTCGTAGCTGTGAAGTCTTAATTTGATTGCTCTCATTATTTTCACCTTTCAGAGCTTATTGTTAGCAATTTTTTAGGAAATATAGTTGTACATGTTTTCTGCCTGCAAAAGCTTAAAAGCATTCTTTTCCGGTCATCTTATAGGGTGTATTCATAATGTAAAACTTCGATAATTCCAGAAATCTGCCATTAAGTCGTACAATTTCTCCTCTTTTTGTGACACAACTTTCACTGCAATATTTACTAACGATTATCAAGTTTTTGTATTCAAAATAATATGTCTGTTCCATATCCTTAAAACTTGCATGCGTTAAAATTGCGCTTGCTGTTCTTTTCTTTTCATTAGACTTGAACTTCGGCAGGATATAAAAATGGTTTTTTGTCATTAGGCTTATCATTGTCATCGCAGTATTCCCCGTATGAAACAATTCTTTCTGTATCTTACTAAGAGTATTCTTGTTCTATTCTCATCATGTTTTGTGATCACAGTAGGAGTAACTTGATGCGTTAAGTATACAGAAGGTGGAATTCCTGTAATATCTCTCTGGAACTTTGCTCAGATAAGTCATCAAACAGTGTAAATAGCAAAAAAACTATAGTTGTCGATGCATCAAGAGTACAATATCGCTCGAATTTTTTTTTAGAAGCCGACGCGCAGTCGCCTGATTCATGCGACATCACCGTAGTGTGACCATATCCCGCTTCAGAGTGGACGAATTCTTAATCCAAGGGTGCAATTGGCTTCAGTTCGGTGCGGCGCATCTTCTGATATATAAAAGTGCCTGTTTGGATACAGCAGGAGGCAAGATTCCATGAATCGTTCCAGATTTTTGTTTACGATAGGTGGTCCAGTGAGTCAATGAATAAGCACACGGAGTAACCTACCGTAAGCAAAAGTCTGAAACAATTTGTGGATTCTCTCCTCCTGCTGTGTCCAAGCGGGCACTTCTATACATCAGAAGATGCACCGCATAAGCTGAATCGAAGGGTACCCTTTGATTAAGAATTCTTAGTCTAAAGCGAGATATGGCCATGCTGTGGTAATGTCACGTAAATCGAGTGACTGCGCGTCGTTTTTGCAAAAAATACAAGCGGTATTGTCATTGCTTTAGCCTTTCCTTCTTTGCCATATGCTGACCGGAACTTCCGCATAACGTTTGGGAAAGTTCCCCCGGGTCACTTGCGGAAGTTCCGTTCTGCGGAAGTTTCGAAGAATGCGAACTACAACAACAAAAGAGAATGCAAGCGAGATTTGGACCTTGCTCTATTGACTGCGACTCACTTGTATATTACCTCTGCACTACGGATGACATGTTCGACAATGCACTCTAGTTGTTAGGGAGGCGACGTAAGAGACAACATACTTAAAGTTCTGCGGAAGTACTGGTAGGTCAAAGTGCTGCGGAACCGCTGGCAGTTTTCGGAAGTTCCGCAGCGCTTCGTAAGAAATCCTGCGGAAGTTCCTGTTTTCAAGCATTCTGACATGATTCCGCGGAAGTTCCCATTTTCAATATTTCGCTTTTGCAAGAGTAAACCTGTGGAACCGCTGCGAATGGTGATTGTCTGAGTGTGTTCTTACTTTTTCGTTTTAAGAGGATGATAAAATGGTCGCGGATTTTTTGGGTCGCTAAAGGAACACAAACAATAGGCTCACTTGGAATGTAGTACCCCAAATCATTCATAGTGCCAAAAAGCTGTGGTGAAAGTAGCTGTGAAAAATCTATCCAGCCAACTTCGACCCCAACTTCACAATCTTGCGAAATTTTTTTAGAAGAATCTTTTTGGCTGTAATAATCTCTATATATATATAACTCAATGATTGTCTGTTTGGAGGGTATGTGCTTTATAGAAACGCCCACGGCTGAACCGATTGAGGCCTTTCACGAGAATTCGTCGGGTCCTTTTTTATTGATTTGTTTACTGACTCTTAGAAAAATGAAAGCTTGCAGTCACTATGGCTTTGGCCATACTTTGCCCGTGGCCGATGTTTCCAGTGTTGCCAGTGTTGAAAGTGTTGCCGGTGTTGAAAGTGTTGAAAGTGTTACCGGTGTTGAAAGTGTTGCCAGTGTTGAAAGTGTTGAAAGTGTTGCCAGTGTTGAAAGTGTTGAACAGATAAGATCATCAGTCTAGCAGTTTCATTCTTTCTCGAACGATCTCACCGGCTGGTGAATACGTTGAAAATGGAGTTGGGGAATGAGAAATGAAACTGAAATGAGATGGGGAATGTTTTCGCATGCAAAAGATCCTCAAACAAACTTTTTGAAAAGTGGACGGCTTGTCTGGAATAGGCAATCTCTAATATTTGAAAACGCTGCAGACCTCACTTAGGTCCTTTACTCACTAATCGCAAGCGATGCAAGATTCGAACTAAAACACATTACCACTCAGACGTCAGCTTTCTCAAATATTGGAGATTGCCTATTCCAGACAAGCCGTCCACTTTTCAAAAAGTTTGTTTGAGGAATCTTTTGCATGCGAAAACATTCCCCATCTCATTTCAGTTTCATTTCTCATTCCCCAACTCCATTTCCAACGTATTCACCAGCCGGTGAGATCGTTCGAGAAAGAATGAAACTGCTAGACTGATGATCTCCATTCAACACTTTCAACACTGGCAACACTTTCAACACTTTCAACACTGGCAACACTTTCAACACCGGTAACACTTTCAACACTTTCAACACTTTCAACACCGACAACACTTTCAACACTGGCAACACTGGAAACATCGGCAACACGGGCGAAGTATGGCCAAAGCCTATCAAGTCACTTCACCACAGCCATGTGAACGGGGACGGTAGATCTCATTTTTACACGGTGGTTAGGCAGCATGCGGTGACTCTACTTGAGTTGCTTAGTGGATTCCTCTGTTCCTAAAGGTTTTCTCGCACATTGTATTCTGTGCAGGAAAGCAGCGCAAAGCGAGGTGGTCGGGTGGAGGTGAAGCGCATGACAGCGGGGAGGTAAATCCTGCCATTTCACTCGGGATTGTATACCTCTTGACGGTTTGGTTACCCAGTTCCGTGTGAAACCGGGTATGCCAGCTATAACATATAAGGGGGGGGGGGGGTTCGCAGTGCAGGTGAGCCCGGGCTGGACCGGGAAAGTCAACTAGTAATAAAGAAAGTATAAAAATAGTATGAAAGTGAGTAGTTCTATGTCTAAGTCAGGCTCATTGAGACTTGTCTGCGAGCAAGCAAAGCCACGTTGAGAGCTTGGAAATCAAAAAGTGGCTTGCACTAGGACGAACTAGTTCTATCGCTGAATGCAGCTGTCGAGGTGGAGTTCATTCCGTTGCTCAGTTGCCATACGCCTACGAGCTCCGACTTATGGTTGTTTTCGTAAATTTTACTTTGTACTACTTGCCTTAATCAATCTTTCCGGAATCCGCTGAATTTTTTGAAATGTTGCCGTCATGAAGTTTCTCGGCTTACATGCCACAGGCTTTATTTGGATTCACTTGTATGCGGTTGTTGAAAATGTGTTTGAGAATTGAAGGCGACGAGAGGAAAGAGCCGCTAAAAAACTGTTGTCGAAATTGTCAGTTGTTTGAGAACTCCATCATGGAGCAATAGTTTTGGCCCTCTCGATTTTTCCACAGGCAAAAGAGGGGAGGGAAAGAAGTAGATGTGGTTTAACTAATTTCCTAAACAGTAGCTATACAGTTCTTGATCTACATAAATGCTTCGTTTTTCAATACAATTTGTCAAGCTTTTTCCACACGCCTGCTTCTTTTCTGTACTTTCTCTCTGCTCTCCTTCAAGGTTGTGAAATCAGCTTGTGAAAACTGCTCGAACTTCGTCTTCCCTACTTCCTGCACTGAAATTCCATCCTGCTTGGAAAAGACTTTTTTGTGAGGACTAATGTCTGTCTAGATTTCTTTTCAAATCCTCGGCCATTATATGAATGTAAGTCCAAAAATCAGAGTGGTTTTAGGAAATCCTACGTAATTGTCCACATTCGTTGAATAGCTTATCCATTGTTACGACCTAATCTATTGTCTTAGCAAAAATCCCCTATTTTTTGCATAATCGCTTCCGTAATCCTACATATTGTTAGATGTAATATTTCATCTATGAATTCTACAATTTTAGCATAATGCGGATATCGCTGCTCATTCTTGTACTATGCACCACTACATTAGCTGATGAAGACTACTACAAACTTCTTGGTATTGAACGGGATGCAGACGATAGGACTATTCGAAAAGCGTTCAAGAAATTAGCTATACAAAAACATCCAGATAAGAATACGGTAGGGAAGAAGTTTTAAAAACTTGTCTTTTTTTATTTCGTCTACTTTTTACTGCCAATCTTCTTCCAAAAGAATCAATGGGATTTTTTGGTGATGTTTACGAAGGGAGTAAGACCTCGTTTTCATCCATTTTTTGATTGAGGGGTTCGCATAATTAATATGATTTTTTCGCAAATCGAGAAAATGCTTATTACAAATATTCATGCTACATGCAAATCATTAAAGAAAAATTAAAATAAATTTGTTATTTATGATTCGGCGAAAATTCGAATGCCATGACCTCTTGTTTGCTCAAAAGGACTCCACAATTTTTAGGATAACCCAAAAGCTCACGCTGAATTTGTAAAAATTAACAAAGCTTACGAAGTGCTGAAAGATGAGGAAACCCGGAAGAAGTACGATCAGTTCGGAGAAAAAGGCTTGGAAGATGGTTTCCAAGGAGGAAACACTTACCAGTCATGGCAATTCTATAACGAGAATTTTGGTCAGTTTTCGTTTTTTGAGACTTTTTTAAGAGGAAAGTAGGTTTGTTTTTTTAGGAATTTATGATGACGATCCAGAAATTGTCACTTTAAATAGAGCAGATTTCCAGCGGCAGGTGTCTGAGTCGAATGAAATGTGGTTTATCAATTTCTATTCTACTTATTGCTCACATTGCCATCAATTAGCCCCCACTGTAAATTTTATAAGAATTTTCTATATTTTTTTACTGATTAAGCAATAATTTTTAGTGGCGAAAGTTCGCGAAGGACATGGAAGGAGCTGTTCGAATAGGCGCCGTGAATTGCGCTGAAGATCCAGGATTATGCCAATCACAACGAGTTTATGCGTATCCATCTCTCGTAATTTATCCTACGGTGAGACTGATATCAATTTTGTTTTCGTTTCAAAAATGACACTTTGCACGCATCGCGACCGCGCTGCGAACGCGCCGCAACCGCTGCGCTTACACACTTCCCACCTCCCTTCTTCCAACCGCTCTCTTCTAGATTATAAATGTGCTCTTGAAATAGGCTTTCAAGATAAGGTTGCTGTAATTCTTTTTTCTCACTCGTAATTTCATTTTGTTATCAGACTAAACAGCTATATCAGATGTTCTCCATACAGTTTCTCCATTTCATCCACTTTTTTTCAGGGTGAGTTCTTCCAAGGTCCGCGGGAACTCGAGCTGCTCGAAGACTTCATTTTACAAAGAATGACAGCTGAGGTGAGGCAGCTTGCAAATTTTCCAATTCATGTACTCTGCGGGTCCGCGTGCACTTCTTCCGTCTAGCTCCATTTTCTATGCATGCATGCTCTGCAGTTCGTGGCATGCATGTACAGGGTTGGCCATAATTATAGCGACAAGACTTACTGCAGTTAGCGTACTATTCTATCGCGCACATAGCGCGCCAGTTTTATCGATTTTTCAATCTCATCATTTTTTCTAACTCCTGTCAAAATTTGGTTGAATTTGGTCCATTTATAGTGAAATGATGAAGCCTTCTGCTGATCGTTCCGCTATCCTTCGTCTGCACAAAGCCGGCCGCCCATCCGCCACGATCGCTATGTAGGCACCTCGGCATCCACCGCAGCGTCGTGTATCGCACACTCCAGCGTTATCGAAACCTTGGTGGACTCCAAGAACGCCGAAGAAGTGGAAGACCTCGTACTGCTCGCACGCTGAAGGTCGTCGAGGGGCCGTCCGAAGGTCGTCCCGGCCGTCATTCGTCGGTTCCGACGTCAAAATCGACAAAGATTACTACCTGAAGACGATTTTGGAAGATGCTCTACTCCCGTGGGCGAATTCCCACTTCAACGGCCGCCCGTGCACATTCCAGCAGAATTCGGCGCCCGCCCACAAGGCCAAGGTCGTCCAAGCGTGGTGCAAGAGCGAACTCCCCGACTTCATCCCGGCAGAAGAATGGCCGGCATCTTCACCGGATTTGAACCCACTGGACTACATCTTGTGGTCCTGCCTTGAGAGCAAAGCCTGCGCCACTCCCCACCCCAATTTGGATTCTCTGAAGGCAGCGCTTATCCGAGAATGGGACGAAATCGACGAGGCACTCCTGCGTCCGGTCATCGACGCCTTTCCCAAGCGTCTTCGCCCTGTCGTCCGTGCCAAAGGTGCCCGAATCGAGAAGTAACTTATGAATGTTAATGTACCAGTTGTTACTTAATAAATGTTAAGTTCATGACTCGTTTGCACACTTCCTTTCTGAGATATAAGGTGAAAACCTTGTCGCTATATTTATGGCCAACCCTGTATATCCGCGTCATGCTAGAGATATAGCTGTGAACAGATAAGTTTTAATCCCGAGGAAGTTATCTATAATTTTTTTCAGCAAGGCAGGAAAAGCATATCTTGTGTCCGTTAGCAATCGGCCTCTCTTGAAAAGTAGACAGAGGGGGTACAATTAGAAAAGGAAGATGATAAAAAGCCGGTGCATTTAGTACAAAGCTTCAAACTAGTTGCAAGATTTTTGGCAAAAATGCTATTCATGGCTGACATAACATCAGATCTTGCCAGGATTTTAGGACAAGCAAAAGTTTTTTGACTTTGCAAATCTTTGTAGCTTTCATCTTGGAAATATAATCTAGAATGCTTCCAGAATTATTTGGAATCAGTCCATAAACAACCATTAAAATAAAACAATCCATGAGGAAGAAGGCAGGAAATAGTATATAATCCCAATGCTAGAAAGATGAGAATAATGGAAGAAAAAAAGACAACCAAAGATAAAGTCATGATTACATTGCACAAAGAAAGGAGTGAAACTACATGCGCCTTTTCCCGAGCTTAAGTTTTTTTTTACAATTTGGGAGGCAAAGCGCAAGGAAACGAATTTACTACCTCCGCCATTTATATGAACTTTTGAGGCGAGATATGTCATTTGAGAATTATCTTCTTTTACCGTGGCCAGGGAACTTTGACAAGTTTCTAGTTCCCGTGAAAATCGCTTTTTCAGTCCAAATTGCTAGGCGCACGATAAGTTTGAACCTAAATTATGCTGTCAATATAAGAATATCCGCGATTAGAGGGGCCAAGCTTTGACCTACTGAAAATTTTTTATAGGTTCTCCACCTAAAATCCGAGAATTTTGAAGCTCTTGTTACTGACTGGCAACCCTATAACACTCGGCCATGGATCATAGACTTCTGCGATGAAACGGAATCATGTCTTTCGTCGATCAATAGGCAAGTTTGAGAGTATTGCGATAGGTTTTGACAGTTATTCCTACTTGTTCTAGGAAGAAGCTGGCAGCTATGCTAGAGGGTCTTGCAAATGTGGGAACAATAGACTGCTCAATGAGTGGTGAGCACGAGTTGTGCGAGCTGTTAGATGCATCGTCTGGTGCTTTGTACTATCCGGCCAGAAAGGTGCAGAAGAGTTATGAGCAGGTCAGTTTATCCTACTTTCATCTGCTCGCAAGAATGGTCCCATTTGCAGAGAATGGAAACTTTGGATCCGAAAGAACTTGCTGAAAAAGCGCTGAGTTATTTGGATGATATTGAAGAAATGAAAGAAAAGGAGCTTCAAATTATTTTAGGTATTTTTATACCTTATTGCTTAGATTTTAAGCATCTGTAATTTTAGACGAAGGAGAAGCAGCATATCCGACGGCAGTGCTTTTTGTTCCGAACAGAGATGCTTTGAAAGAGCTGAAGGACTATAAGAAATTGCCGGTTGCTTTGCCAGATGTCAGAGTAAGTCACCAAGCACAGCAAAGTTATAAAAGCGATTACTGATAATTTGTAGGTTGCCTTTGCTGATTGCTCCAAACTTATGGATGTATGCCGCAATATGCTTGATATGACGAAACTTCCTCAATTTGTCACTTTCAAAACTACAGGAGGATATGAAATTGATTACGGTAATCTTGCTGTTCCTAATTGCTTAGAGTTAATCCAGCAAGCTGCTGCTTTGCGTATTCAAGAGGGTGTTGTGACTATTTGCTGGTTTTCTATTCGGACATAAGAACAATGTTCTAGGCTGTCAACTAAGTTTTGCAACTGAATCCGTAACTTTTCGCTTTTTGATATTGGCTCATTTTTCGCTATTGTATAGAGTGCCGCGCTAGCTACGAAATGATACAAACTGCTTTCTTTTTGATTACGAAATAGGGAAGTCCAAGGAGTTTTCGAAAACTAGTGAAATTTGGGATTTTATCGGTGTTGAGTAAAAAATGAAGTTCTCATCCTAAATCATGCACAAGCATCCGAAATTGTACGTGAATATTGCTAGAGCTCATTCAGTCAGCTCAATAAGAAAAAAATAAAATTTGAAGACAACTCGAGATTTGGCGCCCTCACAAAGTTGAATGAGCCGTTGTACGCAAAGCCTGATTGGGGACAAGCGTCAATGGCCAAACAGTCGGAATCTTAAAATTCGCTGAAACTTTGATTGGTGGGGTTATTTGACCTGCTAAACATGATTATCATCATAACTTATAATAACGGGTTAAAGGTGTTTACGTGACTTTGTGTGGTGTGTGTGTGTCTGTCTGTCTGTAACGAAATTCATACAGCGGGTTCCAGCCAACATCCAGAGCTCAAATTTTGCATAGCGCATGCTACCAACGTTGAACTCCACCATGCAAAAGCACGAGCAGATTCGCTGGGTGGGTCCCTCAGAATTTTCGCGTCAAACGGGTCCACCTGGCTTCTGGCCCTCAGAATTGGGTCCGCATCAACGCTTTTTGCAAAACCGTGGATGTGTTTAGTAGGGTGATGTGTAAGCCATGGACTTTAGACCAAAAAGTGACCAAAGGTTTGCTACTTTACGAAAGCGACGCCGAAAAGAAATGGTCGCGTAAATGGTCAATCCACCGTGGTTTTACCTGAGCATTTGGGAAGATTTTTGCATAGAGATGTAGCTCACGATAACTATTGTCCTCATGGCGACTATCAAGCCAAAAAGTCTCAAAACCTGTTCAAATTTGCATTTGTTTCATCTTCCAAAGTTTCATCCACGCAAAATACCGATCTCACACGAAAAAGCTTAAGGAATGAGTAGTTGTATACGAATCATTCGTGTAGGCGGGCATTGCGCGGTATGTTTCAATGCCATGTTATGCGGGAATGAATATGACATTTAGATAGAGGAGCCGGTGCGAGCTCTGCGAAGCAGAGGTGACGCACTGGTATTCGATAATTGAATTAACGCTAGTTTTCTTGTTTAAGGTGTGAGACCCCATACCATAAACCTACAGTAATCGTGCAAAAAGTCCTTACTTGCAATTTTAGTATCGTATTCGTGTCGAGCATGTCGGATAACCCCTTACGCCAATTTTCAGCCACTATGATATTTTATATTTTTCCCCTTATACCGTATACCTACCGTAACCCTAACTGCGACGTCACAATTTTGCAAAACTGTAGCTGTGTTTGTAGCTTACGTCATAGTCGACATAATAATTTTATTCAAGTGCGTCATATTCAAAGAGAGAAAAGTTATAAAGTTATAAAGTTATAAAGTTATAAAGTTAAGTTATAAAGTAGTTGCAAAACTTAGTTAACAACCCCATTGATTAATAATTTATTTATTTATTTATTGATACACTGTTGTGCACAGTGCGCCAGTACTAAGACACGAACGCAACGACAGACAAAAACAGTAATGAAACGAAATTGTAACATGCTCAACACCCTAGAGAAATTGAGGAGAGTAATTCTCTAAACTAGGTGCTCGTCAGTGTTGTCTTCAAAGTCAGAAAGTCAGTGTCGTGGGGACTAAACTTGGTATAAGTACAAGTCCAAGTACGATGCGTGACGGTATATAAATATACGGTCACTTTCGAGCGAAGAAAGAGGGATAAGCACCTAGGCGAATGAGCGAAATCATGCGTACCCGGCGGGCAGGAGACCTCGTTCGGCTTACCCCAACAACGCTAACATCGGACTTGGATACAAGATGATCAAGGATAAGAGACAGACATATAAAATTACACGACAAAGACGATGTCAGATTTAGAAGACAAACACTAAGCTGCGTATATCGGAAGAGAGCCTCTCAGGTCAAGAGCATGTCAGCAAAACAGCAATGAAAAAAATGATTGATGGAACGAGATGGTCATACTAATGTATGCTATGCTGTAACCCATACAACGAGAAAATGAAAACAAAACAACAAGGATAGTCAATTTAGGCAAAGGGAACGTGGACCGAAGTTCAGCAGAGTTGTATCGACTGAATTGTACAGGCAACCATGGAAGGCCTCTGAAATCAAAACAGACGAGACAACATAAGTGAGTTAAAAAGGCGATCAACTTCCCAAGTGAAGTCCATGGGGCATTGGAAAATACAGTGAAGAAATAGCCAGCGTTAAACTGAGCAAGTCAACACTCTGAAAAAAAAAGGAGCCAGCCAAGAGTAGAATTTAAAATGTAAGAAAAAAAAGTGAAGGACATAAGGAGAAACTTCATCTCAAAAGTACTCGGATTCATCTATTCCCAGCAATCTCAAAAAGTCACAATTAAGAAGTTTTTTTCTGAAAGTAGTTGAATTAGGAGCAGAGAGAACTGCATCAGGAAGCTTTTGTAACCATCGAGAAGTGCGTGCGAAAAATGAGTTGTAGAAGAGTGTATTTGGAACAGTAGAGTCAATGCAGTGGAAGCTAAACCTACCTGTTCGGCCGTTGCACGGTCTCCAAACCCAGAATTCACTAGGAACAATTTTTGTTTCAAGGCGAATTATTTGGAAGGCAAGCACTAAGTCAGCCAAAACCCTTCGATACAGCAAGCTATGCAACTTCAAGTGGTCCAGCCTACATCTATAGGAGGGAAGAGTATACGGGTAATCCTCGCTTGGAAAAAATCTGTAATACATTACACGAGTGAAAACCATTTGGACTTTCTCCAAGGTTAGAATGTCTTTTTTTAAGTGAGGATTCCAGACTTGGCAAGCATACTCTAATGAAGGGAGAACATAGGCCATATACAGCTTGATGTATACTCTCAAGTCTACATGCTTCAAGTTCCGTAATAAAAGGAATACTCTGTGTAAGGCTGCACGCGAAATATTCTCAATATGAGATCTTAACAGGAGCTTATGGTCCATCAATATTCCAAGATCTCTTACAAGCACGGGCCTAGCCAGAGATATATTGGAGTGCGTGTACTCTTTAAGTGTGTTCTCTTGTTCATGCCTTTTGGTGATGGTCAAGCACACACTTTTACGCAAGTTAACATCAATGCAGTTCAAGTCTGCCCACGATAAGATTTTCTGAAGGCAAGCACTCAAGGCATCAGTCACTTCGACTTTGTCCTCATCAGAGTATGAAGCAAAAACTTTTATATCATCTGCATATGCCATGACTTTGATTCTCCAATCAATTGATAGAAGGCCGGGTAACTCACTTGTGTAGATATTAAAAAGGATAGGGGATAAGACACCACCCTGGGGTACTCCGCTGGTTGCCGAGAAGATAGAAGAGATGGCTGAGTTGACTCGTACCGAGAGTGTTCTCTCAGTCAGATAAGACGTGAGCCATTTTAGCATACCTCCACGAATTCCAACTGAATATAGTTTCTCAATTAATTTGTGGATGTCTACTCTGTCAAAAGCTTTGGACAAGTCAAAATAAAGAACATCAGTTAATCGATTTTGTGCCAAGGCTCTTTTCCAGTAAAAATCACAAGTAATCAGTTGGAGAGTAGTGGAAGATCCTTCCATAAACCCAAACTGTTCAGACGGTATGAGATGCTTTTGCACGCAAAATGACAGCAGTTTCCTTCTTACAATCTTCTCAGCAACTTTGCAGACCACAGAGTTAATGCTTATGGGCCGAAACTCCGAGGCCTTTTGTGGGTTCTGAACTTTAGGAATTGGTACCACCCTTCCGTGCTTCCATACTCTGGGTAATTCACCACTGCTCAAAGACATGTTGACAAGTATTGAAACAGGAACTGCTAACTGAGTGGCACATCTTTTGTAAACCATCTGGGGAATTCCATCAGCAGTAATGAAGGTCGATGGTTTCAATCTTTTCAGAATGTTCATAACATCAAAAGGCAGGACTTGAGGAACTTGTGAAAGGTATAAGGAACTTTGTATCTGATTGGTTAGATCATTAGGAAGGCTAGGTCTAGAGTTTGTCGGTTTCTGGAAAACCGATGCAAAATAATGAGCAAGACATTCGGCATTCTCTTGATCAGTCTTGCATAAATTTCCTTGGTGATCATGCAATCCTTGAGGGCCATGCTTTTCTTTGAAAATCAGGTGGGCATACTTGAAGAGAGAGGAAGTGTTCATGTTAGATAGTCTTTTCTGTCTATTCGCACTGAATTTGGCTAGGTGTCTGTTCAACTTTTTTACCACGTTTTTATATCTATCAGATGTCAACGGGTCATGGATTGTGCAAAACAAACGATCCCTTTGTTCTATCAAGTTCTTGATGTGAGTGGGGTAGTGGTCAGTCTCGTACCTTGCTCGTTTCAATGGGATGAAACGCGACAGTAAGTCGTGTAAAAGGTCAAGAAAGCGTTGATACATGTCATCAATAGAGCAAGAATTGTCGAGCAGGGACCACCAATCAATAGTGTCCAAGCAGGCAGAAATGGCCACATAATCACCGCTCGCATAGTCAGGGCAACAATCCATACAGGGGAAATCAATCGGCAACATAAGGTCAAAGTAAATGCTTGCATGGTCAGATAACCCAAGCGGTGGTCGTATAGTCACATTATGTACGAGAGGCGAAGTTGACAGTACCAAATCAAGGATATTATCATTCTTCGTGGGACACAGTACATGCTGAGTGAGAGAAAGATCATCGAACAACTTGATAAACCTGGCAGATGCAGAGCATAGTGGCGTTCTAGCCGACCAATCAATAAGCAAGTTAAAATCGCCAGCAAGAACAATATCACGATGA